ACAACAGACACTAGTATGGCAATATGTAAATCAATGGATGTGTAACTGATGTGATTCTGCAATCTGTGTATGGGGTGAAGGTGGGAGTTCATAACCCACTTGAATCAAAGTGTGGAATATGATATGTCAAGAAATTTGTAATGTTTTGAACAGCCAACAATAAAAAATTAAAAAAAAAAAAGAGAGCAAGCCACTTATGGACTCAGACCTCTGAAACTGTGAACCCCCAAATAAACTTTTCCTCCTCTAAAAAAAAAAAAAGATGTATGTGTGTGTAGGCTTTTTTCTGAATAAATCACAAAAGAGCTAGTAGTCTAAGATAAAACTTCTTGGTATGATTAAAAAAAATCTCCACATCAAACCTTTTTCATTTTTTGACTTTTTCTTCCGTGTATGGATATGCATGGCATAATTAGTTTCAAACAATTTGTATGCTCTTCTCCTCAAAAATCCCCATATTTTCCATGAAAGGTAGTAGTGATTCTCAAAATAAATATTTGAAAATGTTCTTAGAAGATTCCCCAAAGCAAAGAATAATAAGGGGAAAAGAACATTAATGAAACAGCACCATAATGTTAAAATTTTTTTTATATTTAAAATGTAATGTGTAGTATGTATACATATATCCAATGATGTAATATACCTATTGCTATGGTGGCCCCAAACAAGACTGAAAATAATGAGAAAAGCAAACGGATTTTTTTCCATAAATGCAATTACTATGGTGCAGTTGTAGTGTTGCTTGGACACAACTGACAATATGATAAACAGATTTGCACATGGCTAAGGTCCCTCATTTTCTTCAGTAGGCCCAGGTAGGGAAGAATCACTAATAGCACAAAAGATAGCATGAAAGCTTGGGGGAGGGGGGTCAGGAAGTCTATGTGAAGGAGCTAGTCCTTCTTTGAGCCCTCAGAATGTCCAGTGTCCTCCATCCTACTTCTCTCTCAAGGAACAGTAAGTATTAAAGCATCTGGATTAGGCTAGCAAGTCAGTATCTTTCCCTGGCAGACTGAAGGGGGCAATTATACATCTCCAACTGTAATGTGCACAAAAAACACCTGGGATTTTGTGACAGTACAGGCTCTGGTTCCCTAGGTTTAGAGCAAGACCTGAGATTCTGTGTTCTAGCAAGTTCCAGATGCTCCTGCTGCTGCTGGGAGCCCACACATTGAGTAACAAAGCACTAAGAGATGCATATGACAAAGAAAAGTGGGCTAAACCCTATGATAATCCCAACAGGAGATTTCTAAGTCCTCATATGATGACATGCTTATATGTAATAATATAGCCAGGTTTATTTAATATAAAATTATTAGGACAACCCCTCTCCAAACAAAAGGTTAAAGGTATAAAAAATTCTATATAACTAAAATGAAACTTTCAAGGGTTGAAAGGGGAAGCTACAGTTAAATAATAATTATCCAAAACTTTTAATGGGCACTTACTGTTCTAGGAGCTTCAGATGTTCAAAAACAATTCTCACAACAACTCTAATGAATCTCCATTATGAAGAAAAGGTGACAGAGGAACAATGATTAGAACTTTCCCTCAGTCATGTAAACTAACATAGGTAGAGCCACAATTTCACCCTCAATATCCAGCTTAAAGCTCAAGTTCTTAAATATGATACTCATTAATAATAATTTAGCCAATCACTGACCATTAATTGCAGTACTATCGTACTGAAAAAACTTGATAAAATCTGCAATCAAATAAATCTGTATTTCAAATGACTGTATGATCTGGTATTTATCAAAGTCCTTAATGCATTTTTTCTAAGGTGATTAGCTGTACAGAATGGATTATTATTATGCATTTTCATTGTTTTTTATTAGTGCATCAGAACTGGAGTTTTTACTTAATGAAGGAGAAACATAAACACTGTCTCTAGCACAGGGACCAGTCCTACCTTTCTACTCTTTCTTCAAGAACTACAGTCTCTTAGGAAAATGAGGATAAAAAACATGATTATGGGCTGGGGTTGTGGCTCAGCGGTAGAGCACTTGCCTCGCATGTGCAACACCCTGGGTTTGATCCTCAACACCACATAAAAATAATAAGTGAAATAAAGGTATTGTGTCCAAATACAACTAAAAAATATTTTTAAAAAAACATTATCATAATTCTATCTTTTTAAATACAAAATAAAGTTAAAAATTATAATTTCTTATAAATATATGGTAGTATTATGATGTTTCTAAATGTATCCTGCATAATTTTTATTTAATATACCTGTTAATATTTTAATACATGTATTACAAGTAGCTGTAAGTTTCTACAACATAATAATATAGGAATTAAGAATCAGTTTCGGCACATAATTGATTCTAAACTAAGTATTTGTTAACAGACTTTTAATGAAAGTAACCAAACAGATATTTGTAGACTAGAAATCAAATCTAGAATTGCAGAGCAAGCTTATATATTTTTTTATACAAGCATATTTGGATTTAAATTGGATTAAAATGACCGCCAACTGGAAAATCTTTTCAGGCAGTTTGTGTAACTGGCAGTAACATACTAAAAATATAGATAAGAACTCCATTCCACCACAGATGCTTCTTCCGTGATGGAATACCCAAGTGTGATTTTAACAAATCTCTTGTTGATTCGATGAATAACAGATCTGTTGGGCAAAGCCTTCAGAATCCATTTGAGTTTAATTAAGTGACTCACATTTGCCAAACAAATATATAATTGTAAAACTGTCCACTTTACTCTTGGTGTATAGAAATAGCCTAAAACCATTGGAATTTCTTGTACAACAAGAAATTGGGAAGTTTTGGATTTTTTTTTCATTGTCAGTATTTGTGAATAAATCAAATCATAAGAAAATGGGCCAATAATAAAAACACACAATTCATTGTCTCTTCCCTGTGTTTCAGACATAACACTAAACGCTGAACATGCTAACTCATAATCATCAGTAACTATGTAAAGTGCTGTTATCCCTATCTGGCGGCTTTTACAAACGAGAATACAGAGCTAGAGAGATGAAGTCATTTGCTAAAGAGCCCATAGCTAATGACAGGATTGAGATTTGAACTTCCAAAATGCAAGACCTTATTTAACTCCTATCTCTCATACTCGATTTTGCCTGTGTGTATGTATGTATGCATATGTGTGTGTATTCAGTCATAATTATATGCATAATTATATCTGATGATAGAAGCTAATAACACAAGACAACCTCAGAATTTAACACTACTATTCATTATACCAGCCTCATATGAATGTGTAGATGGGTTTTTAGCATGGGATATTGTTTTCATTTCAAATAAGAGGAAATTCTTCTTAAAATCTTAATGAACTCAAAAACAAACAAACAAAAAAAAAAACTTAATGAACTCCTTCAAGAATGTTT